CATAACCTACACATCTAGAACCTCATTAAGGTGACTACTCACTAATCATACTAATCTCTCTTAAACCTTTGCAAGTTGAGAAGATTGGCATGATTAATGATGAGAAATGGAGATGGAGATGATAGATTAAGAAGAAAACAGCTTTAAACACAAAGATCTCTCCAACTCTCTTCTTTAAACACTCAAAAATCGATATTTCTCTTCTTAAGTGGAGTCTTTTCACAAAAGAGGCAAGAGACAAAAGGGAATAAAGCTTAAGTTTTGGGAAAACCCTAAAAACTATTTATATGTCTCTAAAAACGAACCGGGTCAGCCCGGAACAAACCGGGTCCTGACCCGGCTTTAGTGGATAAAGTGATGAATGTGCGAGTTGGTCAAGAGTCTCCTAGGTCGCATGCCCAAGTCGCACAGGTGAAGAAACTGTCTTGTGAGACTTAAATCCCTTAGTCTTAGCCGCACGCCCAAGTAGATGTGTTTTGCGAGTCTTTGTGCGGCTTAATCTTTTCCTTCTTCAACTCGCATGATCAAGGCGAAATCTGGGGAAGGTATGTGTGCGACTTGGTCATCCCTTAGTCCCAAGCCGCATGCCCAAGTCGCACAACCAAGGAGAAGAGCTTGAACGAGATAAAACCCTGTAAGCTCAGCCGCATGCCCATCTAGATGTGAATGGCGAGTCTTTGTGCAGCTAAGTCTTCTCTGATCCTTAACTCGCACGACCATGTAGCAGGGGCCTTCAGGGATTTGTGCGGCTTGGTCTCCATTACTCCCAGGTCGCAGGCTCAAGTCGGTGTAGATTGCGAGTCTTTGTGCGGTGTAGTTCCAAACGCGGCCAACTCGCATGCCTAAGTCGCACAGTTAAGGACTTAGCATTTTTCTTGCTCGGAAACCTCAGACCTTATCCAGTGATAGCTTACCCGCACTTCTCAACTCGCAGCTCAACCTCCAGGCATTTATCTTCAAGCGTTGCGAGTTAACCAAGTCGCAAGACTATCTCGCAGCATTCAGGGCTCCTCGGACCACTTCACTTTCAGGGAAGCGTAACTTCTAGGGTACTGGTCCGAATTGTGTTATTCTAGTTTCAGTTGATAGAAGACTCAGACATCTTCAACTTTGGTGAAGGAACCTTCGGTGCTTGGGAAGTGGACGGTTTCCTGGAGGGTTCATCTTCGCAGTGCATTGACACGATCAGAAAGAGGCTTCTAGACATGCGTCCATTCCGGAAATGTTATCTTCTTGCTCATAGCTCCGAATTGAATCATCTTAGACGTTCTGGAAAAAAGACTCAAATATCTCGGATTCTGATGAAGGCCCCGTAAAGTGAATCAGTCTGGAAGTGCACCGTCCTTCGCATTCTTCGGAGCTCATCGGGTCGGTCCAAAATGGCAGCGAGACAGGAGTTCCTTCCGACAAGCTTAACTCTCTTCTCACGCCTCCAAATCCTATGATTCCACCTGATCTGGAACCATGATCCAATCTTCTCCAACTTTGATGAAGCACCCGACAGCTGAATCGGACCGGAAGGTTCCCCGGACAGGCGATTTTGGAAATGTGTCTGCACCTGGGAATTTTGGCCGAGAAACTTAACCAGCCGGTACACGTTTTGGCCGAGGAATCCACCCGCGGTACATGCAAATTGCCGAGGAAAACCTTCCTGCGGTACGTGAGAATGGCCGAGAACCTCCAAAAACCCATTTTCACCATCTTTCAAACTTTGATCACCATTTCTCTTCCTGGATACACCTGATAAACACTCAAAACATGCAAAGACTCATTGGGACCTAATGCAACTCCTAAGTCCTAAAACAAACCCTAAGGACCTAAAATGCATGAAATAAGATATGATTTGGAAAAAAAATATACAACCTAAATGATGAAAATTATGAACATATCAAACTTTATCATTACTTGCTCACTTTAATGCATGGTTTCATTCTACAATAATCAACAATAGCTAAGTTTATTTGTTTGCAAAATGTAATAGTTGGAGGCACGAAAGTGGAAAGACTATAAATTCATGTTCTGTATTCAAGATAGTTTTTACTTAAATCCCTAACAAATCATCTATCTAGGGAGAAAATCTTTCTTTTGTATCTCCATAGAATATTTTTGAACCGTCTTATTTCTTATGAAGCTATATCTAGTCAACAAAAGAATAACTACTTTCCTTAGAGGTTATCGAGAACTCATACAACTGCCTGATCAAACAGTACAGGGATTAGGCGGATCCACCCATGCTCCTACTTTGGCTATCTGGGTCTATTTATTCAAAGTTTTTTGCCCTTATATATTTACTTCATGGGAGAAACATATATAACATACAGACGATACTATGAACTATTCAAAACCTATCAGAGGCATTCTTAGATGCCCATCAAACATTATCAATACATCTGTAATATAACTATTCAATACTCTAGGAGGAGCTTTATCTAGTTTAGTGATTTAAGTTCGAGAAATAAACTAAATTATTTGCCTGCCTGATTATCTAATTTGAAATTTCTGTTTTCTTAAAATTAACCTAAGGCTTACCATTTTCCATCCATCAAACATACATTGTTTGCTTAACTTTTAAGCTTTTAATTAATTCATAAATCTAAAAGCTTTCATTTGTCTTTGGTTTACTTTATTTTTACATTCTTGTTGTGTCTCACTTCTATACTATTAAAATGGAAGCATTTTTAATCTTTGTTGCCAAACACTCATATAATTTTTTAAAAACAATTGTTAAGAAAAAAATTCAACATTGACCCAGTTTGATCTATTATTAAATAAAAATATATTTTTATTTGTATTTTAATTTAATTCCAAAAATTACAATTTTAGTTAAGCTATTTTAGATTTCCTTAAATATAGGTTATATTACTTATCAAATATCAAAAACAATTTGTTTTAATATCGTTAAAAAATAATAACTAGATATTAATTTAAATTTCTTTTATATATTTAATTTTTTTTTTGACATATATTCGAATTTGGATAATATTTTGTATTATGTTATTCTTTTATCTTAATCAACCAGTCTAAAGTTTCAAATATTCAAAATTAGTTTATTATTATATTATACAGAATATGCTGGAGCGTGTTAGACTTATGTTTTTAGAATTGCAGTCCTATGTGTATTACTTTGTTAAAATATGCAAGATATCTATACTATTTAAAGAGTTACAAACTCTATATCTTTGTGTCCAAACAGGAAAAAAATATACAATTAAAAGGGAGCAAATTTAGTCTTTTTTGCCATATACTCTATATTGTTTTTTACAAAAATGTTTTAAAAAAATTTAACATTGAACCAGATTGATGTAATATTAATTGAAAAGAGATTTTTATTTTATCTTAAAAAGTTATATATAAAATAAATATATCTAAAAAAGACAAATGTACAAATATGGATAGATTTCTAGTAGGTAACAAATATAGCTGGAGAAGAATAAAAAATTAAAGGAAAACAAATTAAAAAGAACATGTGGCTTTTTTTTCTTTCTGTAGGTTAGATGTCTCTGTCTTCCATGGGGTTTATATATATATGAAAATGTGTACGATACTAATTTATCTTTTTGGTACTCTTTCTACTTGGCTGTCTAGACATCTGTTGATATCGGCTAAGTGTCAAGAGGAGCGTGGAGATTTGGTCCAAAGGAATATCAGAGTATTTATAACCACGAAAAGAATGTGCAACAGGCTGGGAATATTCCTGACGTGAACAGTGTCGTGAACAGAACTGTAAACAGTTATAAATAGTACCGTGAACAGTACCGTGAACAGTACCACGCTGACACATGGAGACAAAGGGAATGAAGTGGGGAACAAAGGCTGCGGTAGAACTGTATGGAGTCAGTACGGACCAATGCATGTTCTGACAGGACAAGGCGCTACTGGCTCAGTGGGGGACAAAGGCTGCTGTAGTCGACCTAGGTCTAGAAAAGGTGTCGTAGATCTCCGAGATGGCGAGACCGACCGTTGCATGCACTGCCGGGATGGCTTGAGCGACACTTGTACGGCTGCATGGGAGGGACGCTGGCTATATATAGAACCTCACCCCTTAAGCAGATTCATTCCAGAAAAATCTCTACTTCTCTCTAGAAAACGTTTGTGTGAGTTTAGTGAGAGAAATTCGGAGAGAGATCGAGGCGGATCGTGGTTAGGTGCGCGGCAGGATTAGGCTCGGTGAATCTAACTCAGCGCATCAGGAAATCACGGTGAGTCCTTTGTTTGAGTCTCTTAGTCAATTTCTCCATGTAGTCCATAGAGTTTTGTGCAGGTTTAAGGGTTGCATGTGGACTTAACCCGAGAAGATTAGAGACATAGTTCAAGGTGGTGAGAACCTTCAGATACAGCCGAGGGGTGTGTATCCGTTGGTGCATCGGGATGGTGGTGCTGGCAAGCCGTTGTAGATAACGGTGAGCTGGAGGTGTGTAACGGTAGACAGGGAGTCAAGCCGTAGCGAGGTAAGTCCCAGTAGGGAAATTAAGGCGAGAGACGGCGTAACCCGTTGAGCCAGGAAATGAGAAAATCCCGAACGGCAGAAGCAATACCCGGCACGCGACCGGTGAGCTTAGAGTAAGTCCGGAGGAAGGGCAAGTAGGCAAAAGATGGAGGATCTGTTGAGCCGAGAAAAGGATAAGTCTCGGAAGGGAAGAGATGAGCAATGTACGGTATGTAACCGTTGAGCTTGGTGTGTGCCAAGTCCCGAAAGGCAGAAGCAACACCCGGTAGGTAACTGGTGAGCTTAGAGTAAGTACAAGTAAGGAAGAGAGGAGCAAGAAGCGGTTGTGAACCGATGAGCTCAAGGGAAAAGTCCCGAAAGGCAGAAACAACACCCGGTAGGTAACCAGTGAGCTTAGAGTATGTCCAAGTAAGGCAGAGAAGAGCAAGAAGCGGTTGTGAAGCGATGAGCTCAGAGAAAAGTCCCGATAGGCAGAAGCAACACCCGGTGGGTAGCCGGTGAGCTTAGGGTAAGCCAAGTAAGGCAAATAGGAGCAAGAAGCGGTTGCGAACCGATGAGCTCAGAGGAAAGTCCCGGAAGGGCAGACTACGGGAGAGGCCTGTGAGTCTTGTGTGAAAATGGGAGAATCCTGTAAGTGTTTGTGTGATGCATGTAGGTTGAATGTAGGAGGTAAGGCCGGAGTGAATTCAGGGTGGAATTCCTCGGTCTAGACACATCCCAATGGATAAACTCGGCCAGGACAGAGGTTGAGCCCTCTGCCGAGTGCTGCACGACGGTGTGGCCCGACTGGTCAGTGGACCATGGACAAGTTCGGAACATGAGCCAGCTCTGTGATCCTGTGTGGTGTTCAGAGCTAGGGGGCTCGCGGGGCAGATGTGTCGAACTGGTGCATGTTCAGGGTGGAACATGGCACGTTAAGGGGCCCTTGCATGGTGTAGATTGAGTCAATAGATGCACTTAGAGTAGTGATGTAGACTTGTTGGTGAATAGCTTCCGCTGTGAATTGATTGGTTGGTGATTGTGTGTGAACATTGCAATTTTTTGGTTGATTGTTCAGTGCTTTCCTTGTTGTGTGAGCTTCGGCTATATGTTTTAAGCGAGATAGTGGTGGTTTGTGTTAGAGTATGGACTCACTGAGTATTGTGAATACTCACGACTCTTTGTATCTCGCAGGTAGCCGTAGAAACCAGAAAAATAGAGGGAAGGCAACAGACGCTAGGCGAGCCAGAGTAGATTGCAGTGTTCTTGTAAGATCTATATATGTATATTCATTAAAGCGCGGTTTTGTGAAAAGATGCATCGAATATTATGTAATAGAACATGGTTTTGTAAGGATATTTTCAATATGTAATAAAAGAAGTATTTTCTCACAAAAACTTCGTCTTAATTATACTAGACCTTGTCCGGGTCGAAACAACTCGGGTTTGCAGTACGGGTTGAAAAGCCTTAGGCTGTGAACTCGAGGACCGGTCTCGGACCTGGACTAGCTCGAGTAGTATGTGATGCTCGAGCCGGTCTGTGTCCGTCTCGGCGTTGTAACGCTTCCGGCTAGATCTAAGTCATGAATGTCGGGTTTGGGGTGTTACAGTCGTGGCTCAGCTTATAGAGGTCACCTACAATGTCGGGTTTGGGGTGTTACAGTGGTGGCCTACAATGTTCAGAGATGCTCAGGTGGTAGTGTCAAGCTGTGATCAGTGCCAAAGACAAGGCAACATCTCCAAGAGAAATGAGATGCCCCAAAATCCCATCTTGGAGGTGGAACTTTTTGACTGCTAGGGTATTGACTTCATGGTTCCTTTTGTGAGCTCATATGGGAATCAGTTCATACTTGTTGCTGTGGATTATGTGTCCAAATCGGTTGAGGCTGTTGCTTCCCCAACCAATGACTCTAAGGTGGTGGTCAAACTCTTTAAAAGCACCATCTTCCCAAGGTTTGGGGTTCCCAGAGTGGTGATAAGTGATGGAGGTTCTCATTTTGTGAACAAGACTCTGGAGGGATTGCTAAGGAAGCATGGGGTCAAGCACAAGATAGCTAGCCCATATCACCCTCAGACCAGTGGCTAAGTAGAGGTTTCAAACAAACATATCAAGGCCATCTTAGAAAGGACATTGAGCAACTCAAGGAAAGACTGGAGCAAGAAGGTGGATGATGCTCTCTGGGCCAGAGGATCATTCATCACCAGAGTCAGAGGAGGACGAGGTCAGAGCCAAGAGGGATGCCATGAGATCTCCCTCAGACCAATCCAGCAATCCCTCCTACTCCATGGGGTCTCCAGCCCCATCTCTAAGTCCTTGAGAAGGTAACACTCCATCCTTGTAAATATGCATCTAGCTTAGATTATTTTCTCTTTGCATTTTGTGATTTTGCTTTGCACTTCTCCTTCATGATTTTATAACACAAGGGACTGTGTTATCTAAGTGTGGGGGAGGGGTTTTGTGTTTACTAATCATGTTTATTCTGCTCTTATTTTCCTTTTCACTTTGAGTCGCATTTTGCATTCATCTAAGTGCATATAAAAACATAACAAAATTGAAAAATCTGAAAAATTATCACAAAAAATGCTCATGTAGTTGCATTCACATTTTAGGTTGAGTCTAGTTTGCATTTTCATATAGGTTGCATCATATGCAAATGGGTGTAATGATAAATTTTTTCTTGAATAGAGCATCATTTTAAGAGTTTGGTTCTTTAATGCATTGCAAAACTGGTATGAAATCAAGTGTGAACCATGCTTTGAACTGGTGTCTCAATACTTCTGTGCTAGCTGAATCAAATTGTGAATAACCTCAACCTTGCTTAAGTGAAAACCCTTGAGTTTGACATCTAATTATCATGCTAGTGCATATCATTGTGGTTGTTAAAGAAAGCATTCCCCTAAGAGATGAAATGAAGAGAGTGATGTGAGCTGATTGAGTGTCAAAGGCAAATTCCAATTGGGGTGAGTAGACTAGAGAAAGAGTCGTAAGGGGTTTAAAGTTGAGTGTGAAAAGCATTTTGGGTGTGGGGTAGATGCAGTTCTACCTTTGTATGCATCCATTGCTTTTTACCCTTAGCATTTTACTAAAGTCTACTAACTTTTGAGTGATCCCCTTGCATGGAGTACCAGTCACTTGATTGAGATCATTTTAATCTCAAAACCCAGTCCCAAGCCAAATGATTCACTTGATTTGCCTGAACATGATCCACTTGAAAATTTAATTGAATGTCAAAAGGTTGAGGTTAGGAATGCTTGTGAAGGTTGGTGCTTGAGTTTGGTTCATCTGATGACAAGTATGGCTAATTTTTATGAGTAAACCAGTTTGCATTGCAATCTAGAATTGGTAACTTGGACAATGAGCTTTGAATTCTTTTGATGATCATCCCTCTTTAAAGAAATATGAACTCCCATGCATTGAACCTCTCTTTCTCATTTGTTCTTGTTTGGTTGAGGAAAAGCAAAGGACAAGTGTGGGGGAGTCGATATACTCATATTTTGTCATGTTTAGGATTGCATTTTTGTCCAAATATTGAGTCTCATGCATACATTTAGCTAGTTTTATTAGAGTTTGTCTTTGGTTCTAGCTTTGTTTAAGAATTGCATTAGGTCCTAGAGTGTCCTGCATTTTTGGAGTATTCTCAGGTCATTTGGAGACTTTTGGGAGCAACTTGGAGCTGGGATCATGGTGGAACCCTCACCTGTGTACAGCAACTCGGACAGATGGTTTGGTGCCGACGAGACCTCTACTTTGATCGCGTGAGAAGAAGGACTTGTACTGCGATTCAACCTCTGGTGTCGTCATAAAGAATCAATAAGGATGAGTCTAGTTTCCGGAACACTTAGAATCAGGCGATTTGGAGCCGTGAACTGGGAGATATCGTCATCGGAAGGATCACATGTCTCGCGGCCCTATTAGAACTTGCGCAATGCGCCTCAAAGAACCGACGAGACGGGGGCTTTTCCGACGTCATATGGGGTTGAGACCTTCACTAAACTTTGATCTAAGGACGTCATATGGTTCGTGGAGTTGGAATATCAAGGTTTGGACCAGTGAGCAAGGAGTTATGAAGGATTTGGTGCAAGCGGTCTACATTCATATCAGGAAGGAATACCGACCAAAATCTGGTCGATATGACCTTGGAGCTTTGACTTTTTTGGCCGACTTTTGGAAGTCCAAATTCCGAAGAATTATCGAGATGCTGCACCGACTGAATCCTGCTCAATATTGATCCCCTGAAGCTATCCTTACGCCGCACCAAGGTGAGTTCAGCCGGTGAGGTGTCTCGGTGTAACCAGTCTCAAATCGCCGAAGAAATATCAACGTCCTGCACCGGGTAAAATCACCTCGATACATTCTCGAACCATGACGTTTTTGTGGGCCTTTTTGGGGCCAATACCTAGTTTGTCCTAGGTTAACCCATCAAGAAACCCTACCTATATATATGTTTTAGGCATTATCCAGCAGACTAAGCTTTATTCTCTTTGTTTTCTTTGCCTCTTTTGTGAAAGACCTAAACTTTGTAAGAGAGATCTTCATTTTCTGGGTTTGAATCAAGAGACTAATTAGGGATTAAAGCTGAAATCCATCATTATATGTCATCTCCATCTTCATCTTCCATCCTTTTGTGAGTTTTAATCAAGAGAGATTGAGAGATTTCTGTGTTTAAAGCGACAAATCCATCATCATCCATCTTCTCCATCTCCATTTCTCATCATTAATCATGCCAATCTTCTCAACTGGCAATGGTTTAGATTAGTATAATTAGTGAGTAGTTTACCTTAATGAGGTTCTAGATGTTTAGGGTGCTAAAGTGTTAGATTAGGAGTGCTTAGGGCTAGATTCATTGATTCATCTCTCTAAACAGCTGTTCTCAGTACTTAGGGTATCAGTCCACAGAGACATAGTTGTTTCCGTACGAATTCACGACAATGCTTAAATCAGACTAGAACTAAACAGGTTTTGGTTTTGGTTTTGGGTTTTGGTTGTCACTAAATCTAAACTATAAAGCTAAACAAGTAAAGCAATGAAAAACGACAGTAAGTGAAAGCAAGTAATAAGCGATTAAACAAGAGCGAATGGAAGCAGGTAATAAGCGAATGAAAAGCAAGGCTGTAAACAATGGAAACAAACGTTGGGGCTCAAGGTTTCGCAGGGATTCATGGACTAGGCTATGTGGATTTTTAAACAAGTGATAAAGGTAATCAACTACGTATGTTCTAGAACTCGAGGCATGGAAGTATGAATAGCCTACTTTCGCGGCACTAAACAACTATCTCTCGCAATCCTGATCAGTAGGTTTCTACTCTGATCCTGGAAGGGAGAAGATGCAATAGCAGAACAAGACTCATCAACATTCACAACTCAACTACAGGTAGGTTTCCACTCCTATAGAATCATTGCTCGTTTCACCCTAGTTCAGACAATCAATGAAAGCTTTCGCAACATATCATATCAGATCGGCTTCTAAGTGGCCAGCAGAGAATCACGCAGTATAATCAAAGGCAAACGAAGAACATCTAGAAGATTATGAATCATAAATCTATCGACTCATAAGCAAAGACACACAAAATTCCCTTTGAACAATTCCTTTAAACCCAACTGGGTAACTACTCAAACATATTGTAAACAATCATCACAGAGTATTGAAAATTGCAGGAAATTATAAAAAAAAAAACAGGGAAGAAAAACGAAGAACGGAGAAGCAGACGGAGGCGCGATGACTTCCTCCAGCTGCGGCTCCTTCTTCTGGACGGCGGCGGCCTCTAGGGTTGCTCCCACGAAAATCTCTCTCTCCCTCTAAGTTTGTCTAAATTTCGGTCCCTATTGGCCTCCCCTTTAGAATGACCTAAAGAGGGTATTTATAGCTTCTTGAGTGGTCTTGGACACTTAAGGCTTCAAAAATAACAAAAGGAATCGACTTGGGCCTTAATTAGGTCGTCTGGAAAGTGAACGACTACTGGCCGCTGTCCCGGTTCTTCTACCCGCGGGGAAATATGTGTTGGCCGCGGTCCCGGCTTGTGGCTCTCTTCCGGAACTGCATTTTCTGTCATTCTTGCATCGGGAGTATCTGAAGATCTAACCTTTGTATTGTCTCCAAACAAAATGCATTAGAAAGCTGGTTGTATACTCTAAGTTGTCACAAATTTTGGGGGTGATCGGACGGTAAGAAGGTCTTCATCGCTTGTCATACTTCTGACGGTCTGCATTTATCCAAAATTGTTCATTTGTTCCAATTTGCATATCTTTTACCCAAGTTTCCCGAAAAGTCTTTTGAAACTCTAAAACATTGAAAACACTTTAAAAACCATTGAAAACAGAGTTAAAACACCTGCATAAGACATAATTATGATCCATAAAAGTGATCAAAATACGGTGTTATCAGTGCAGCATCTCGGTATTGCAAAAAAGAAACCCCGAACAAATATCGAGATGTTACACCAAGGGAATGCAAGTCGATATGAACATGGCAGTGAGTCAGAAATGGGTTCTAAAGAGGATGAAGACAAGGTTCAAGGGCAAGAAAGCAACACCAAACGAGCTATAACAAAGGAGCATTCAAAACAAGCTGATCAAGCAAGCTTCAATGAGGATTGGAGTGAACGTAAGGCTCCTAAGGTTGAACTCAAGCCACTCCAAAGTGGCCTCGGGTATTCTTTTCTTGGCTCTAATGCATCATATCCTGTGATCATGATAACTAAGGTTTTTAAGGCGTTAATAAGGGTTATCAATCCCTTATGTCACTTGTAGTACAAAGGGTATCAATCCAAATGTGTGTTTGCTAGACACTAGTTTATGTGACAAGTTCTTAAGTCAAGTGATCAAAGATGATTTTTGGTGTGAACAAAGTAACAAGAAAGCATAAAACAAGAAACAAACAAGCTATGATTAATGAACTAAGCAAGCAAACAAAACAAGATGATGGTGATTAAGCAAATGATAAAAGCTAAACCTCTAGATGTGATCATTGATTAGGGTGCTTTAGATATTGAATCATGATGCTAAGAACATAATGCAACACTTGCTACTCTTTAGTCTAGGCTTCTTAATCAGATTAATTCATTCCCATTACAATAATCCCTTTGCAA